CGGGCAGCCCGGCGGGCATGCAGGCTGCCTTCCAGCTATAGTTGCCTCTCTGTGTGCTGGGACAGCAGTGGTTGGGGAAACCCACTACAGCAAAGCTGGATAATGCTACTGCAGGACCCCAATGGGCTTCCCATCACCTGCCAAGTCCCCACAGCAGCTCTGTTTGGGCAGGGCACGACGGCTCAGCCCGTGCTGAGCAAACACGGGGGTGATGCTGCACATGGATTCACCCCAGCTGGCTCCGAAAGCGGCAGAGCTGCACTCGCCCAGCGGTGCGACTCCCCGCAGGTGACGTCTTGTACAGCTGACCATGGGGCACGGCCTTGACTAGTTTTTCTGCTCCCCCTGAAGACAGGGTGCACAACAGCAGGTTCCTTTTCTGGCTGCTGCTGGACTTGACCTTTTGCTGGCAAGGTCTGGTGAGAGCATCGTTATGTGGCTGAGACGGTACGGTAGGCAGGGTGGCAGCCTGTACCTTGGTGATGAGCAAGAACATGTCACCTTTCTATTTTCCCAACAGGCTCTCGTGACAGGAAGGCGACCGGGAGACTCTCTTCACCCAAGCAGGAGCGGCAGAGGGGCCAGAACCCAAAACCTTCTCCTGCACAGACAGACAGGTCAGTGCCCGCTTGTTCTCTTGTGGGCCGGGCTGGGGCTCACAGTTCTCCAGCAGTTCGATCCCTTCCCTCCTCCCGGGGCAGCTCTGAGGCTCTCTGGCCATAGTTTCTAGTTGTCATGGAGGCACAGGGAGGAAGGACGCAGAGCTTCCTGGGCAGAAGCCAGAGGTGCTCAGGGGTTCACGTGGAAACCACCAGTTAAGCCGTTCCAGCTCAGGAACATGCAAGAGCCTGGGGGTTTTCTCGAGGTCAGTCCCAGCAAAAGGAGCCAGCTGGGTTAGGTGCAAGCTCAGTCATGCCAGTGCCTCTGCCTCTCGCTAGCGTAGTGCCAGTGAAAAAGAAAATACAACCCCTTCATCCCGCTGCTGAGCATCTCGTGGCACCTGGCTCAGGTGCCCGATTCCCTTCATAGCCCGGCGTACCCTCAGCTGCTCACTTTGCTGCTGTGAGATGTTAAAACGTGGTCTCTGCACGAGACTGAGCGGTGACTAGCCCTGGCTTTGCGCCTTTCCGTCCCCTCTGGTGACAGGTCACCAGCTCACGTCCGATTTCTTGGCAGCCTGCACCCGCTGCTGTGCTGGGAATATCCCATTACAGAACTGGATGTGTGGCTCCAGGGGCCTTGGGCTGTGCTCCAGTCGGAGCCCTTTGGCTAAAGGCTTGTGGAGCACCTTCTGCAGCACACCTAAAGCTTCCTCTGTCCTCCTTGCCCACAGCCAGCCGGTGCTGCTTTGCATTTCTCTAGTGTCATCTCTCCGAGGATCTCCGTGAGCAAAGAAACGCAGCCCCGTGCTGCAGCCCTGCGTTCCTTGGCCAGCGGGACTCGTGTCATCCCCTCTCCCCAGCCCAGGGCACGAGCCAGCCTCAATTTCTGTGTGTCAGAGTCTTCCCAAACCAAAACCTACCCCTGGCTGCCACAGCCCTGTCCTTCAGGCCCCGAGGGTTCTGTTTTCTAGCAGTGAAGAGGAACCTCAGCCTTTCCAGCCTGGCGGTGTTGACCACATCCCTGGTTCTTGTCCCTCTCCTGCCTGCTGCTCTTTGGGCTGGCAGTGTCGCCTGGTGGGTTCAGCGTGTCCCATGCCCAGGCACAGGGGTGGTTAAGGACACGCTGGGTTTCTTTAGGGCAGCTGAACGGTGGGTCTGTGTCCTACGGACAGGGGAAGCGGTGGGAAGAGCCACGGGTCGCTTGCCTCCAGCCCTGCTCGATCCATTTGGCTGCCTGTGATGGGGACCAGTGGCTCCAGTCCTTCCTGTGCCGGGCTGGCTGGGCTCCCTGCGTGCAGGGGAGGGAGGGTCCCCCCCAGTTTTACTTTGCTCCGGAGCATCAGCTTCGGACTGCAGCAAAGCAGCATCGGAGCAGAACCGGAGCGCAGCGCTGGGTGTTTGTGAGCTCCCTGGAACGGCCAGATCCGCCCCACGGGACCCGGCGGCATCGCAGGGCCGGGGCTGTCCGGATTTGAGACCCCGGAGGGGTTCTCCAGGGCTGCCTTGCACTTACCCGTGCTGCTCTCCCCTTTGCTTGTGTAACCGTGAGCTCCCTCGCACGTGTCCATCACCCAACAAGCT